TGTGTGCCACCCTCCTCCTCCTCATCCGTCCGCAGAACGTGCCGAGAAGCTGGGCCAGAGTCTCACCAAGATCCCCTACAAGGACACCTTCTGGAAGGGCACAACCCGCACGCGGCCCAGTAAGGACTCGGGGTCCCCCGGGGGGGCATGGCTCCCCTGCACCCTGCTGGCAGTGCTCCACCCCCAGGGTCTGGTAGCCACAGACATCTACCCCCTTGTACTGCAGGGAATGGGACCCTGAACAAACTTGCTGGGATCGACTACAAACAGCTGAACCTGAGCCAGAAACTCAACGAGAACCAGTCAGGAGAGGTGGGTTCCTCCCCCCTGTAGACCCCTCCCCCCAGGGCACAGCCCTGGCTGGGCACAGTCACTCCATGGTCCCAGGGCCAGGCACAGGGAGGGGCTTCTGTCCAGCTGAGAGGGTGCACTCTCATGGTGGATCCCATGGGCTCCAGGAGGTGCTGGGGACTGCACAAGGGTCCAGGGTGGGGCTGGGGACCCTGTGCCCCTCTTACAGTGCCTGTGCTCCCACTCCCCCCAGCTGTGGAAGGGGCGCTGGCAGGGCAACGACATCATCATCAAAATGCTGAAAATCCGGGACTGGACGACAAGGAAGAGCCGAGACTTCAATGAGGAGTACCCAAAGCTGAGGTGGGTGCCACACCTGCCTGAGGCCACCACCTGGGCAGGGCCACCCCAGCACCTGCCTGGGGCTGCTGTGGCTCTCAGGGAATGGGGCAGGCAGGATCCACCCAGCCCTGCAGGGCCAGGAAAACTCTGGAGCGGTGCCTGAGGGCTGGGAGGGGGGTGGCAGGGGGCAGATACAGGGGAGCAGACAGCCCCCCTATTCTCAGGGCTGTCATTTCTCGCAGTGAAGTGACAACCCACTTTGGGGGTTGGTCTCTTCTTGCAGGCAGCCAGCAGTAGGACAAGAGAGCGTAGAGTCAAGGGGGATGTTTAGGTTAGATATTGGGAAGAGGTTTTTTATGGAGAGTGCTGACGCATTGGAATGTGCTGCCCAGGGAGGTGGTGGATTCACCATCCCTGGAAGTTTTCAAGATGAGACTGGATGTGGCTGTTAGTGCCATGGTCTAGTAACCATGGTAGGGT